GCAGCAGCAGTCACAGCGTCAGTGTTCGATTGTTTGCTAGGAATCGTAGCCTCGCTTACGGGGAAGAACAAGGGTTTGCAAATTGCAAATGAAATCGATTTTTTCAATTGGATTGTCAACTAATGGTGGGTTCATAATTGAGATTTGGGCCTCATTTTATTTAAAAAATAGAAGGCCCAAAAAAGGCCCAAAACATCAAAGCAATTTTTCATCTTCCTCCCACTTTTCCACCGGCTGCCACTGTAAATTCCACCTGGTGGGCTGGCAACCACTGGAAGCTCCCTACGGATCAGGCACGGGCGGCCGCGAGGGCTCGCCAGGTGCTAGGTCCGCCCCTGGTCTCAGGTAAGCTGATAGTTGTGTAGGTCATGTGTAGGATTCAAACCTTGATAATAATTCAGGTTTTCATAATCATTTATGATCCGTGGCTCTATTTGAAGTGCCTCTACCACAAAATAAGTCTATTCAATAACAATATGTTCATTAAAGTAAATTTCGATAATGAAAAAAATCCTTATCAGCTAATTCTTCTCTAGTTTTGTCACTAACACATGGGAAAATCTCTTTATTAATGATCACAGATCTACCTATTATCATTTTAAATCCCCTAGCCTTTTTTATACATAACCTGTACCCTTTAACTCCTTCCCCATATCCAAGAAAAACACATTTCAGTGATTGGATCAAGTTTGGAATCAATTTGGTGTGCATAAGCTGCACAGCCAAAAGTATTAAGATAGAAATAATAGGGCAATAATCCAGACCATACCTGTTCAGGTATCTTATAGTCTAAGGAGCTAGGGGACATCTATTTATCAGATAAAAAGTACTCTCCACAGCTTCTCCTCAGAATAATTTTGGTAAATCAGAACTGATCAATATGCATCTAGTTGTTTCAAGAATGGTTCTGATAATTCTTTTAACAATTCCATTTTGGTGAGGAGTATAGGCCACAGTCATATGCCTCGGTATACCATGTTTGCTGCAAGTCCATTGTCAGTCCTTAAAGCTTTTATCTTACCAGTTTGATTCTCAATTAATATTTTTCAATCTCTATAGGTATAAAGTGCCTAACTTAGATTTGAACAGAAAAAGTCACACCTTCCTAGAGTAGTCTTCTATGGTAAGGAGGTAATATCTATGGCCAGATGTTGTAGACACAGGAGCAGGTCCCAGAGTACGTCTAGTGACTTATTGATGCTTGCCTTGAAAGACAATCTACTTTGTTTCCCTAAATTACATATTTCACAAAAAGTTAATTTTTTGAACATTGTCTTTACCAAAGGCACCTTCTTTTAGAAGAAGTTTTAAAACCTTTTCAACAAGGTGACCCAATTTTTTATGTCATAAATCTGATTGATCAGACTGCACCAATACATTTATACCATTATTAGGTGAAACAACTTCAGAAGTCATTACATAGAGTCCATTTACTTCAGGTGTAATCACAATGAATTTCTAATCTCTAGTTATGTTTGTTAAACCCTTTTTAATCTCAATTCAATAATTTTCATCATCTAACACCCCTTGGAAAATGAGATTTCTTCTCAGTGCTAGAACATATCTAGGGTGTGTTTGATACCCATTAAAATTTTTATTCTCATTCTTCTTCTTATTTTCAACCACACATTCTTCATTAAAAAAATATTTTTCATCACATCAATAATTTTTCCTTCTTTTTTCAACCACACATTCTCCATCAATCTACTATTCCAAAATACATTCTTTCAAAATAATATCCATCAAACAGACCTCTAGTATGTTTCTGCAATATCATCTGACCGTTTTTTAGTCTTAGAACAATGTTGCCAATGCCTACCTCCATCAAGTCTAGAGAAATTAGAAAACTAGCAAATATTGGGGCCCTTACGAAAGGAACAGCCTGAATCAAGGTATTTTTCAATTGAAGACACATAAGCCACCCCAATTGAAGATTTATTTTAATTATGTGAATCGTTCTTTTGATCATTTGATTCTTAAAACAATCTTTTATGAAGTGTCATTTTCTCACAATAATAGCACTTCTTATTCTTTGCATTTCCTTTATTATTTTCTCGAATCTTATTAGTGAAACTCTTATCTCTATTATAATTTTGCTTGACTGAAATTACTCACCCCTTCAGTTGGAAGCTTTGTGTTTGATAAAGAATTCTTTGCAGGTAGAACCTCCCTATATTCTGATTTTAATTCCAACCTTCTATTCTTTAGTGAAGTGAGTAATTTCAATAGTCTGATAATCTCTACCATATTCTAGGGCATTCTTTATGTCTTTACATTGCTCTTCAAATGCATTAAGTAGACCAACTACTTTCTATTTAGCGGTGATCTTTTCACCAGAGTTTATAAGATCTTAAGTGATCCTATTAAATCTATTCATATTTTCTTCTCAGTCAGCGAACTTAAGACTAAAGAATTGCTTCCAAAGAAAGCACTTAATAGGCAGAGACTTAGTGAGATAAAGTTTCTCTAAGTCATTCCACAATTTAAGGGCAGTCTTAGCTTCACCCAACTTTCTGATTACAGAATCAGATAGATGGAGAAACATAGTACTCTAAACCAATTCATCTTGTTCAATTTGCCTATCAACAACTAGGTTTTCTGGCCAAGATTCATCAATGGCCTTAGCACATTTCAATTGTAACATAAGGGCTTTCACCTTCTGGCACAGGAGACTAAAGTCTCCTTCGACATCCCACATCTGAACATCTATCCTAGTGGTCATACTGTGCAGCAGTGTAGTGATAGTGTTCAAGAAAGATATAAACGGGAACAAAAATATGTCACACAGATCAATTTTAAAATGAACAAATTACAGAATCAAGAATACGTTCCAGGAAATTACAGTAATATAGGCAAAGATTGTACAGTAGAATGTATAAATGTCAAGATATGCTTACACTGAATAAACAGTAAGAATTTAAAGTATGTATATACAATTTTATTTAGATGTAGAAGCATATTCAGTGATAACATAAAAGTATGAGTATCAACACACAATTAACAGAATATTGCACTTAATCAGAAAACATAACCTAGCTTTGACATATTATAAGACATAAAGTAGTAGATTATAATTTTTCAAGAAACCAACAGAAAATCACTGGTTAGATTTCCTTAGACCGAAAACCTAATTCCCTCAAATTCTAGGGTCATCTGAAGGAGCCCTAGACAAATGTAAATGTAGGGGGGGGTTCTCAGGAACCTTTAAAAGTAAATTTAGCTCTTGAAAAAAGAATTAAGGAATAAGGGTCAAGAAATTCGTTACCACAACTGTAATTTCAAAAGAAATATTTGAGAATACCAGAAAATCCACTCTAGGTTGAGATCAAATAACCTTTTTGAAGGATACCAACAGATTTTTTAAGATCTAAAGTTTGAAGACAAACCAAAAGAATCAAAAAAATCGAATGAAGTATCAAATCAAACTTTCTAGCTCTCGTGCTACTGTTGGTCCTAGATTAAGACTCAACTAGCATCAAGAACACAGAAAAATCAGCAAGAAAGTAAAAGAACACAGATTTTTTTCTGCCTTAGGCCATGAAGGTTTAGCAATCGCTTCTAACGCTTAATCTTCCATTAGGGTTACAAGAAAATCTGCTATCACAGCCTCAACGACACAGGCAAAGGTATCAATTACAAAAGAGCATAAAGCCCATGTTATTTAAAAAAAGGTACTCTATTGAAAAGCCTCAATAAACTCCATTATATAGGTGGTAGGACATGGCAACGGTAGTAATCACAATGGAGATTATGATGAGATTTGATTAATGAATAAAAATTGGTAGATATTTCGTAGGTCAACCAAATAAAATGGAGATTAGGAAAGCTTAGGAAATGCTATGGTAAATTGTAAATGTCGAAGTACTATTTCTACTGTACATTCTCTATATACAATAATTATTTAATGGAGACAAGAGGCTAGACACTAG